CATCCAGGACGTGAATGCTGAGCTCTGACTGAAATTATATTCATGGGCCAGGCATCAAGCCAGGGGACTCTCTTCACTGTCACTCACTTGGCAGTGACTGGAACAATTTATAGCAAATTGAAGGGTAAGGACTTGATAATGAAACTATTTAATTTCCACCTCCAATTCAGCTGCCACCTGTAAAACTGCAGCCAGGAGTGGGCTCTGGAAATACACTGTGAGACCATCAGCCTTTCCCCAGACACTGCCTTCACCTTCATGGCTTTACTTCCGTGCCCACCCTCATCAGCTTTGTTATTGTAAACGACTCCTGATTCATTGCCACAAGGACACGGTGACACAGCTGTTTGCATCCTTCACAGACAGGTATCCCCTGCTCAGCTCAGAGCTCCCAGCACTCCCGTGTCCTTTGCTGTCACCCCAGGACAGGGGAGGCAGTGCCTGCTGGAACCATGGAACACCACAATTCTCTCGGCACAGCTGTCTCCCACCAAGGACAAAAAAAATTGGGGCACAGGCTTTTTTGGCCACTGACATTTTCCAAATGCCTGTGCTGGTTTTGTGAGCAGTTCTGCTGTCACAGGGGCCGGTTTCTGACATTCACACCTGGATTGGCACCATTTGACAGTGGCCCTTTCCATCAACGTCAGCCCCAGTCCCAAGGTGCTTTATGACACTATTTCAGACAGACTGCTTAAAGCTACACAAGCTCCAAATGCAGCATCTCTGTAAGCAACCCCCATACCCTGACAATCTGGGACAACTTTACTGTTAAAGCTCTTGTTCTGTACAGGAAAACTGAACAATCTATTTCCACTCTTCCCATCGTAGCACAGACATTCCTACAGCAGTGCCTCCCTGGGACTCAAACCATTCCCTGTCTCTTCCCTATAGACAGACAGGGATTCACAGAACCTCAGTTTCCCCCCAAAACTGTCAGCAGGAGAATGGTGACTGGGATGGCCAGGTTTTGAATGGAAGAGAAAGAATCCACATTAAATTCCATTTTCCCTAGAAAGTGCAACGCCTTACCTCAGTAAATGCTGAAAACATTTCTTCCCTTTCACTTTTCCTCACGAAGATGCCTTTTTATACAAGTCAGAATGCAACACACATTCTCTCCCACACACAAAAAACATATGGATCTCTAGAAAACAACCATTTTTTCCTCCTGTGGGTTAGCTTGCTAGAGAGATTGATATTCTTTTTATGTCTCAATCCTCAGGAGACATTTAGGGCTCCTAAATGACTTAGATTTGTTTCCTCACCATCTGGAGACGAGTTAACTCTCCGTGGGAATGATCAGCACTCTCAGGTGTGTCCCTGCACTCAACCCTTCCTGGCCCAGCACTCCTCTGTCCGTGGGTTACCCCACAAATGGGACCTACAGAGGCTGCAGAAAGGGATAGAGGAATTTAAGATTTGGCTGTTTCTGGTCATGAACATTGTTCAAAGCTGGAGATTGCTGTACACAGAACAATGTCCTGCTTAAGGGTTTCCCAGGACATCAGAAGACAAGGAGCACACCATCAGCTTTGTGAAAAGGCTGAATATCTCTGAGTGAAGCAGCACTTTAAACAATGCTAAAATAACCTAATATAGGAGATTATTTTTTCTCTAGAACACCTGAATTTCTGTGTACCTTATGCAGGAATACTGAGCCACTGCTAAACCTGGAGTGGTTTAGGTTCAGCTTCCCCAGCTCATCCTTTCTCCTGCGTTTGAACAAGTTAAAATCCTGGGATCCTTGAAAACTGGGTAATTTGGGATATGGATTTTAGAACCCAGGAGGACAGAGGCAGGGAAGCTCTATGTGCCACAGTGACCCACTATTGCTCCCAGAACAGCAGGTGATTCCTGCCTTGTGAGTTACTGGGGAAAAAAGAAAAATCTTTTGACATAAAGCAACCAGGATTTCAGCTTCAGAATTTCTTTAATACACATCTGTCCTCTCCAGCTCTCAGTTCTTGATCTTTGCCCTTAATTCTTCTCTCCCCATACATGTGCAAATGTTGTTCCACTTTCTCTGGAAACCTCAGCTACAAAGGTTTGGAGAAACAGGGGATTGGTTGAGAAAGGAGCTTTACAGAAAGCCTGCAGCACATCACTGGGGAGGGAGCCTTGTGTTTCTGGGTGGCTAATTAAATTCTACTTAAGAACTAATTTAAGGAAGAAAGACCAGATGAAGAATGGTGTGGCACAGCATCAAAGTGGACTCTTAAGGCGTTGCTGGGCTCTAGAACACACACACAAGACAGCACAGGAATCTCTAGTGTGTTATTCCCAACCTCTCCTTTATTTATATTGACTGGAGCTCAGGTTTATACAGGAGTAGAGCTATCCCCCCCAGGTTAAAATATGACTCCACTGGGGCATAACAGTGGCCTTATGCCATACAGAAAGTAATTTATGCTCTATCTGAAGTCATTTCATCAACCCTTGGCACAATGGCTAACGAGCCCAGGAAGATGGTTTATTAGACCCTCTTCCCATTAGGTCAAAGTCTGAGAAACTGCTTATTTCCCAGGGCAGGGTGATTTGTGCAGATTGCGTCTGCAGATGTATTTGCAAACACTGCATGGGATGTAAATTGCCTGAATTTGGCCTTTATATCAAGCAGGCACTTTGTTTATTCCCTTACCACTGTAAGTCAGATGATTTGGGGCTCAGGCTTTGTTTTTTGGCTTACTGGGACACCTAAAAACATGAATCTTTGTCCTTTGTGCTAAATCAGTGACAAGGCACACGAACCAAACCCCTCCCTAAAAGAGCTTTGTGTTCCATCCACTCTGAAGAAGACTGGGATTTATTAAAATTGCTGGGCTATTCTGCATTCCCCAGTTAACAAACTGCCCATGGATGGAGCAGTAGAAAAAAGAGCAGGTGCCAGGATCTCCCACCTCAATCAGCACCTAAAATCACTGGCAGAGCAGCAGAGCTGCCCAGTGCTAGCCTAGCCCAGGACAAAACATCTGAGAGGGGCCACCCAAGAGTCAGATTGGAGGAGGCAGACCCCAACATCTGTTGCTGAGCTCTTGCACTTTCAAGCTCTTGGAGCAGCATCAGATCCTGTGTTCTAGTGAGGTTCTCCCTGCTTTCCCTACTCCCTGACAAACTGCCTGTGACACCTCCCTCAGCCAGCACGTTCATCTGGAGCCGTTATTGACAGAGCCATCTGATGAATGAGCAGATTCTCCTCCTTGTTGTTTCACGAGAAAGCGGCACCATAGATTTTTAATTCTTCAAATCACTCAGGCCCTGGCAGGCTGATGGGAAGTCAGCAGAGGACAGTCAGGGGTTATAGTTTTGTTTGGATTTGTTCTGGTTTTTAAAAAACATCTGGGCCTTCATGTGCAGAGGTTGTGAATTGTGGTGTGTGAGCTCTCTCAGGATGGTGCATGCAGGAAACCTGGGACAGATGCCCAAACACAGGTTTCATTCCAAGGATACACTTGGCTGATAACCCCCCGTGCCTGCAGATCAGTGAGATGAATGTTGGAGCAAGTCTCTCTCTCTCAGCTGACCCCAGGGCAATGCTCAGCTTTGTCCTCCACGTATCTGTCCTTCAGACAAATCCTTGTGGCCACTGAAACAGCTGGATCAGACCATGGGCTTCCCTGTGATCTAATTATGCAGCAAGGGTAAGCACTGGCAATACTGAGTATTGACTTATTTATCACCATCAGAACTTGAAAAAAACCCTTGACAAATGTGTTCATTTTGGGTCCTACTCTGAGCTCCACAGAAGCACGAAGACCTCATTTCAGACAGTAAAATACAGGAATTATCCTGTCCAGCCCTGGGCCTCTTCCTGTAGACATACAGCTGCAATAAGCTGGCCCTGCTGAGCTTTATTGAATGTTACACATTTTAGGCAGTGCTGGGAGCTATAGATTTTATCTGGGCTAGATATTTAACTCCCCCTTAAAATGAAAAATAGCTTTAAGAAGCCAGAGCAGCATTTCATTCCTTAAACACGTAATTCAGCAGGCTCAAACTCCAAGAATGAAGTGACTGAAGGCGATTCAAATTAAAATAATCTACCAGTGGCCTAAAAGACAAACCAAAATGTGAGGGAAAAGGCCTAGTTATTAAAGTACCAGACTGTACTCTCCTCCAAGGAGCATGACCTTGATTAAGCAGCAGTGACAGAGTCCACTCACCCAAGTAATGGGGGGAATATAGTCCAAGCTCCTAAAACCACTATCAAAGTATTAAGGTTTTCCACTGGGGATCCAAGATGTGTTAAAAGCACATCTCATAGAGTGTGCAGACACTGCATCCCTCCCCCCACGAGTGTACTGCCCCTCAGGCACAGCTTGCCCACACTCTTTTGAATGCTCAGCCCTCAGCACCTGACCAGAATGAGCTTATTACGCCATCAGCAAAGGCTTCAAAATGTAAGAGCTGAGTGGCTTTCTTCAAATGCCCCTTTCTGCCTGTACCTGCCTGGGCCAGGAGCATCTGTCCAGCCATAATCTGCACATCAGAAATTCATCCGCAGCCATTTATCTTCCAAGATTCCTTACACCAGAGGAGACCCAATGAGGTACAACCAAACACTCAGAAATCTTGCAAACACAGCTGATGTGTGTTCCTTCCTGCGGGGACGAGGTGCTGCAGGAGGGATGGAAGAGCAATGCTGCCCTCTGTGGGCACTCGGAATTGCAGCCTCCCGCCTCGGGAGGATCCTGGAGCACAGCCCGTGTATCCTACACTTATCTCCAAACGCAAAAGGCTCACTGATGAACATATCAGAACTACTCTCAAGTCTGCCACTGGTAGGAGGTGATCACTGCTGCTGAACTGTTTGCCTGGTGATAGGGAAGGACAGGACTACGTGGTTCATAAAAGGACTCTTACACAGGAAAAGGGTATGATTTTTCATGCACTTATACTATAAACATGGTGGATGAAGATCCTCTTCCTTTCGTGAAGACGTTTCAATCCATGTGCAAAAATACACCTTGAGTAATATAAAAGAATCAAACACAGTAAAATTAACAGAATGACACTCAGGCATTTTATTGGGTCAGAGGGAAGGCCGGGAGGTGCTTTAGGACACATTCACAGATGGGCTACAGACCTGTTCATCTACCAGTGCACACTCATCACACTGCAATACAGCTCATCAAGAGAGACCTGAAAGAAGTTTTTAAAGTTTATATTCAGGGAAAGTACATGGGAGGACAGGGAGAGGAGGGGTAGGGCAAGAGACCCAGCATCCTTGCCACAAAGCAAACCAATAAATGGACCTCTCTCACTACTCAATGATTACATGTGAAGATTATTTTGGTCTAATTACATCGGTTAATTTACCCATTAGGTTAGTTCATGTCTAAAATGTTTTCTAGTACTAACAAGCCTTTCGGAAAGCACACAGAGATAAAGCACTTCTTACTTTCAAAGCTCTCTATGACAATGATGTCAGCTCAGCATCCCTGTGAGGTAGGCAAAAATCAGCTGTTTTCTGAGACACAGAGAAGTTAAACTTCCTCAAAGCCACAGTGAAGAATGTGTTAGTTATTATAATACCCTTAAGAACCTGGAATGATACCGTTTTTCACAGACAGAGAATTGGAGGCAGCCAGCAATCTGCTAGTAAGGAACTACCAAATTTTCATCGCATTTTTATTATTAAAATACTTTAAATCCCCCCTGCCCACCTTGAAAAGTGTTCCACAGACTTGTATATGGACTAATGAGCTGTTTCATGTGAGGAACAAAAAGCACTGGTCCTTTCCAGCAGTAAGCAGACATTCCCACCCAGGAAAGGGTAGCCACGATACCACTGGAGTTACATACTCTATGATCACATCCCAGATCTTACAACCACTACAATTATGGATATCAAAGATATCAGCCAAGTGTTAGTTACTTTAGGGAATTCAGCTTAAGCACTCTAGTTTCTGTAAAAGGAGTAGGAAAAATGATAACTAAAAAAACAACTTTTGAAGTGATAGCTATTCAAAACCAAGCTATCATAAAATAAAGCACACAGCTGCTACAAAGGGCAGGATTAACTTAATAAGCCTAAATATCCCCATTGCAAGGTTAACAGATTGATCGGCTCAGCCCTTATCCCGAGAAAAGCTTTTGGTTTGCAGAACAGTCAAGTGGGTAATGGAGCCAGGGCCTTCTTCATTCTGTAGATCCACAAAGAAGCAATAGTAGAAGCTCTGTTGTGCATGTCTGCATGGAAAAGTTTCCAAAACCTTCTGGATATGTCCCTCCATCCAACTTCTACACTTTCTCCTCGTGTTTCTAATCTAAAGCAGTTGCTGAAGTCCATCCTCGTGCTAAGTCAGATTAGAGAGATCATCTGCCCAATTTTAATAAAAGATAAAACCATGGCTCATTAAACAGGCCTGCAAAGAACCCTTCCCATTGACTTCAGTTCAGCTGTAACAGCTGGGTAACACTGAATAACACAAACCCAGTCACTGAACAGCTGCACTGTGCAACCTGGTATCACCAACTCAGCTTTCTACTGAAGTACAACCCACTGAACAGGACACCTGGCTCTTCCACATCAACACCACCAGGGCACAACTTCCTGAGGACACATGCAGGGTACCACCCAGTGAGTTTATTGCTACTTTATTGCTCGGGTGTAAATGCCCTGCAGCGGTCAGCACTCCTTCCAAAGCCAGGCTGTGCTCCAGGCACCAGCAGCTTGAGTTCAACACCTGCCTCGGCTCCTCTGGGCCTTCCACAGCTCCTGCACACAGAGTTCTCACCCAAACCCTGCACACAGCAAATGAGTGGTTTTGCTTCACCACAGAAGAGAATTCCAGTCACCACTGAGTTACACAGTATGGATCAAACCCATCTCTGCACTGGAAGGCACACTTTTTCCCCGCTGTGTTTGGCATGTTTTTCACAGAGCTACATAACTGCTGAAACGTTCAGCCCTCCAAAGGGCCACGTGGACAGCAAGTGGCAAGAGCTGCAGGAGAAAACAAAGCAACGCTGTAAGGAGTAGAGGGGGGAAAAGGGATGGAGAACATCCTTTCAGAGCTCACTTAATTGTGATTCAGCGACACAGACTCTGGACTCTGTTAGGAACAATCTTGCTAAGAAAATTGGTTTCTTCCTCTCCACTCTTAATTTTTATGCAGAGCCAATGCAATAATCCAGATTTGGGTTTTCTAACCCTGTATAATTTTCCTTTGCTAAACTGGGCTTCTTATAATAAGACATACTCTGGGCCTCTAAATAAGCAGAGAAAAACAAATGAAAAAAAAAACCACATCTTTTTCTAAATCAAGAATTTGTTCTTCCACCCACGTGTCCATTAATCCACAGCCATTCAGAGAAATCTGGCACTGTCAGCTCCCCTTTAACTCCAAAACTGTCAAATGCAAAAATGGAAATAATTTGTTTTTCTACCCATTGAGGGCTTTCCAGTTGCATGGTTTGCATTTACAGCTTCAGCTTCAGGGGCAGAATACAGGTTCACTGGTTTTGGCTTAAAATTTGTGCAGTGGGCTAATCGTTCTCCATTTTAGCACCATGTTCCACGGAGATTTATAACTTTGAAATTTCTAGACTGTAAGGAAGAAGCAGAAGCAGCAGTTAATGAATCTGGTGCATTTTGTGGGGCTTGGAAATAAAAGCTCAAAATCTGGCTGAGAAAAACCAAACAAAAATTAAAGTATACAACAGATGAAGATGAACTGTGTTGACAAGAGAGTGAAGTAATAGCACCTATGCTGTTGTGATGCTAAACATTTGGCAGTGTTTTCTGTTGACCACACAGGAGCCACTGGACTCCCTGACCATGGTAAGAAAAGAATTGTGATAAGAGCAATCACTGTGCTTGTGAAGGGAACAGAGAGTCTGACTTGAGGCTTCAGCTTTCACTGAGCTGACAGTGAAAAAATTCAGTGGCAGAAGGATGGGGTTTTTTAAGCATTCCTTCACCTCATGTCACCTTGCTCCCCCTGAGGCAAAGCCACCCAGTTCATCCCTTCTGAACAACTGACCAAATCACTTTTTTACAGTCTGTTGTACGAGCTGACCAAGACCAGAAACGATAAAATTCACAACGAACAGTGCGAGACAGTCTTTCCATTCCCCCCCACTGTCCATAACGGGTCATTTACCCCCCAAATCCCACGTTAACTGGCAGGAACACTGGATAGTGAGGCCCGGCTCTCAGCGGGCGGTGTCACAGCTTGGGCAGAGCCCCGGCTGGTGCCAGTGTGATGCCAAACACATAGAAGAGCCCCAGGAGGAGGTTGAGCTTGGCTGTCCGCTGGGGGATTTTGCTGAAGCTCCGGCTGCGGAACTGCCTCTCCAGCGAGAAGGCCATGGGGATGGTGAGCAGCGGCAGGGCCATGCTGATGGTGTAGCGTGTGGCCAGCACACAGAAGATCAGGTAGGGCAGGAAGAGCAGCGCGGCGTAGAGGATGTAGGAGAAGGTGGGGCCGATGAGGATGGCCAGGGTGACGATGCCCGCCTGCCGGTCCGACTCCATGTCCCGCGTGTTGTTGCTGTGCAGGATGGCCTCGGTGCTGAGGGCCAGGGGCACGGCGTAGAGCAGGGGGGACACCGACAGGTACCCCACCTGCACCGCGTGGGCGAACATGACGGCCAGCGGCCCGAAGGTGATCAGGATCACCACGTCCCCGAGGGCCACGTACTTAAAGCCAATCCCTGCGGCAAGACACAAGGAAAGGAAGCGTCACCAAACAAGTCTGACAGAAGAAGTGAACGACACAAGAGATCAGCCCCTTCCCATGAGAATATTGCAAAACAACCAAGGCACGTGCAGCTATGGATAAGAAGCACATTAACCCTTTTCTTCCCGTATCAGGAGCAGTGTGGCCAGCAGGAGCAGGGGAGTGATTCCTGCCCTGTACTCAGCACTAGTTAGGCCACACCTTGAGTGCTGTGTCCAGTTCTGGGCTCCTCAGTTTAGGAAGGATGCTGAGGTGCTGGAGCAGGTCCAGAGAAGGGCAGTGAGGCTGGTGAGGGGACTGGAACACAAGTTCTGTGAGGAGCAGCTGAGGGGGCTCAGCCTGGAGAGGAGGAGGCTCAGGGGAGACCTCATCACTCTCTGTAACTCCCTGACAGGAGGTCAGGCTCTGCTCCCAGACAATCAGCAGTAGGATAAGAGGGCACAGCCTTCAGCTGTGCCAGGGGAGGTTTAGATTGGACATCAGGAAGAAATTCTTTCCAGAGAGAGTGATCAGCCATTGGAATGGGCTGCCCAGGTGGAGTCACCGTCCCTGGAGGTGTTTAAGAGGAGACTGGATGTGGCATCAGTGCCATGGTTTGGGTGACAAGGGGGTGTTGGGTCAAAGGTTGGACTCGATGATTCTGTCACATTTACATTCAGATTCACAGCAGGCGGGACGCAGCGCTTACCCCCGGTGTAAAGGAAGGAGCTGGAAAGTCCTCCGAAGTAAATCAGCGCCAGGTGCTCCAGCTTGAGCGTGGACACCGCGTAGAGCCCGGCGGCGCAGATACAGCCCACGGTGTACAGGAACACCCCAAACCGCACCACGTCCTGCGGCTCCAAAATCTGGTCCACCAACGTCCTGTCGTCGCTCTTCTTGTGATCGATGCCCTTGGAGAAGTCGTAGTAGGTGTTCACCAGGTTGCCGGCGCCGTGCACGGCCAGGACGGTGACGGCGCTGCCCAGGAGCAGCCCCGGGTCCAGCGCTCCCTGGGCGCGGTAGGCGAGCGCGCTGCCCAGCGCCACGGGGGTCAGCGAGGCGCTGAAGCTCCACGGCCGCAGCGCCAGCACATAGGCCGCGCACTTGTGCCTCCAGCCGCCGGCAGCGGCCCCCTCAGCGCCCGCCAGCGCCGAGCCGCCGCCGTTCCTCTCGCTCCCGCGGGGGCTCTCGGCGCTGATGCTGATCTTCTGCACCGGTTCCGCCGGCCCCATGCTCGCCTCGCCGGCTCGCAGCAGCACCTAGAGAGGAAGGGCCGCGCGTTATCGGCCTGGCGGAGCCAGGGGGCGGCCATGGCGGCCTGAGGGGAGAGGCCCGCCCTACCACCGGCCCGGCCCGGCCCGCCCCGCCGTCCCCGCGCGAGGGGTTCCGCACCGGCCGGCACCTCCTGGAGTATAAAAACCCAATGGAAAAATTAACCGGCCCGCGGCGTCACGCGCGGCAGAGAAGGAGTCACCCCGCGACACGCGCCGGTAACCGGGACTGGAGGTGCCATCGCTAGCTCGGAGCTCCGGTGGCCGTCGTGGCCGCTCCTGGGGCTGCCGCGGGCGGCCGGACACATTTCGGCAGCGCGCCGCTCCCCCCGCGCATGCGCAGAGCTCACCCACACCGCCGGCGCGGAGGGACCGCAAAGAGCATCGAAATCCCCACCCCTGCCGTGGGCACGGACACCTTCAGCGACCAGCGGGCTCCGAGCCACCGCCAGCCCGCCCTTGGGCACTTCTAGGGGTGGGGCAGCTGCTCTGGGCATCCTGCGCCAGGGTCTCACCTGGCGAAGAATGTTTTTCGTGATACCTAAATTTTCCCTCTTTCAGTCTGAGCCCGTTCCCCTTGTCCTGTCACTGCAGTTCCTGACGAAGGGTCCCTCTCTGGCCTCCTTGTAGTCCCCTTGTGGTTCTGTAAGGCTGCCCTGTGGTCTCCACGCAACCCTCTGTTCTTCCACAGGGGAGGTGCTCCAGTCCCCATCCCTTCCCTCCAGTGCCTGACGGCACCACACAGCCCGCCGTCACTCGCTGACGGTGCCTCGGTCAGACCACCAACGTCGCCGACAAAGCTGTTGAGCAGCGTCAGCCCCACACGACCCCCAAGGGATCCCTGTCCTCGCTGATCTCCACGTGGACAATGAGCCGCTGACCGCAGTGCGGCCGAGCAGCCAGTTCTTTATCCACCCGTCAAACGCCTGCCTGTGCAGCGTGGAGCCCGGGACGGCGGTGCTGGGCTGTGCGGACAGCGCCGGTCGCCCCGCACACCCCCCGCGCTGCGGCCCCGCCATGGCGGGTGCCGCAAGGAAGGGCGGAAGCCGGCGTCTGGGGGGCGGGCCTAGCAGGCCAACGCGTCCTTCCTATTCGTCACACCTACTGCCACTCACTCCGCTCGGCTCGGTGATTGGCCGGCGCGAGGCTGCCCTTGCCGTTCCTCGGGCGAAGGGGCGGGGCTGCGGGCGCCCCTTCCCTTTTGTCCTTTTTCTATTGGCCGGAGGCCGTGCCCGTCACGGCGTTCCCGGGCGCCCATTGGCCAGCAGGGGCCGGCGGGCGCGGCGGGGCGGGCGCGGGGCCCGGAGCGGGGGAGCCGGCGGGGCCGGGGCGGCGGCGGGTGAGTGAGAGAGAGGGAGGGAGAGAGAGGGAGGGAGAGGGAAAGACCGCGGGAGCAGCGGTGCCTCCCTCCCCTCGGCATCGCCTCCCCTTCCCCGAGCCCCCCGCTGCCCGCCCGCAGCGCCCCGCCCGAGCCCCCGGCGCTGCGGCGGGGCCCAGGCTCAGCCCTCCCGCAGCCCCGGCCTGCGGAGCCCCCCGGGCGCGGGCCTGGCCGGACCTGCTGCCAGCGCGGCCGTGAGGGAGCCCCGGGCAGGCACACCGGGCAGCGGCGACGGGCAGCACCCCCCGGCTTCTCCCTCGCCCGCGGGATCCTCTCCCGGCTGCCCCCCCCCCCACACCCTATGGACCCCTGGGGAATGTTTGGGGAGAAGCAGTGGAAGTTTTGGTGTCAGTGCTCGGTTTGGGCTTATGTAATATGAAAATAGCGGGGCGGGGGTGGTGGTGTCAAGCCTCTGAAACGCTCTTGGTGTAAAGGAAGGCCCCTGAGAAAGTTTGGTTGTGTGTCGTGGTAGGAGAGCCCCGGTCACAGCGGTTGGTGTTGCTATAAGTGGACTTGCCGTCTGTAAATACCTGCTGGAGGATGCAGTGCTTGCCAGGCCCTGAGTGCTGAGCCTGCCTTGTGTTGGCATAACACCGGGATTTCCGTGGAGAAACTTGGGTGGAAGTGCTCAAGGAGGAGTCAGATAGCATAGCAATCTAATCCTGGGAATGATTGTGCCTACTTATTGTGGGCTTAATTGCAAAGCCCAGCCTGACTCTGCTCTTTTTCAGCTGTTGCATGACCCTTGATTTAGAATTAGATCACCATGGGGCACCTGACCTGCTGCAGCGTATTTTGGTGTTTGAGGAGCTGGAGGGCAAATAGGCTGGGGGTCAGGATAGGTGGTGATTGATACAGTTTTATCACAGGCCTAAGGAATACACCCATTTCTTGCTAATTTTATGCTCTGCTGGCACAGCATCCCTGCACGCCACAGGATGTGTGCTTTGCAAACAGCCAGCAGGAGCAGCCTCAAGGAAGCAGCTCAGGTTTTTCAATTCAAGCAGTAAAAAAAAAAAACACAAAAACATGTCTTTCTGAAGAACTTGCAGGACTTGATGCCCCCGGGCCCCACGTGCCACCACCATGTCGGGCACCATGTCCATCCTCCAGCAGTTCGCCAACGGCCTGAAGAGCCGCAGCGAGGAGACGAGGGCCAAGGCTGCCAAGGACCTGCAGCACTACGTCACCATGGAGCTGAGGGAGGTGAGTGCTGCAAGTGGGGTCATTCCTCCTGTGTGTGTCCTCTGAGGTCTTGGCTGCTTTGGCAAGGGAGGTTTTTGGAATGTGGAGGCTTGGCCTCGAGAGGGGAGATGGGGCAAAGATAAGCTCCCTGCTATGCCCCATCTCCTCTCTCGAGGAGATGGGGCATAGCAGGGAGCTTGTCTGTGCCCCAGCGTGGAGGAGAGGTGAGTTGGTGAGACAAGTGGGTGGTCAGGCACCACGGGATATCCAGAATAAATAAACTTACGGCATCCACGGCACATGAAAGAGATGCTGTTTTGCGTTTGTGACGGGTGGTTGGTTCAGTTTCTTTCTGTTTAAGTGATTTAAGAAGTGCTGTCTTTATGGAGGTTTGGGGGCAGGAAGGAGGGAGAGAATGCTGAAAGCTGATTTGAACTTTTTGCCTTTGCAGATGAGTCAGGAAGAATCTACCAGGTTTTACGATCAGCTGAACCATCACATATTTGAGCTGGTCTCTAGCTCTGATGCAAATGAAAGGAAGGGTGGCATTCTGGCTATAGGTGAGTGAAAGGGCTTTAGTGTGAAAGGTGAGATTTCTCTTCATGCATCTGTCTTCAGGGACAGATTTTCAAAAGGAATGAGCTTTTATACTCAGGGCCTGATGTCTGACTGCTCAGTAGGCTGGGTCTGTGCTCGTTGCTGGGCTCTGAGAATCTGTCTGAAGTGTCAGCATGGGAGCTGATGAGTGCTGAGAATGGCTGAAAACCTGGTGCTTAATGGGCCTTAGAGCTCCTCATGGGAGTGGAGCATCAAATGTGAGCGCTGAGCACGTGAAAATCCTGTTCTGGAGCTCAGCTGCAAACACTTTGTTCTGCCCATTTATATGTATCAGGGTGGGCTGACTTTCTCCACTCTCTTCTGTCTGGGGAGGCTGATTCTTTTTATTTAAACTTACCTTGTAAGAGCAGCTTCCATCCCTGGGAAGGGCTCGTGAGGCTGCTCTGGTTCTGATCAGCTGCTCCATCAGTGGCTCTGGTTGTGTGTTCGCTGTGAGGTGGCAGAGCTGCATTTCCTGGGGAGTCAGCTTGCATAAATACTTTGCCTTTCAAGCAGGTGGTCTGTGCTGTAGAAGTTACTTCTTTAATAACCAAAGGAGGTGTTTATGGTTTAGGCTCACAGAGCTAATCATCCATCCCAACGTGTTTGAAGACAGTGAAAGTCCCTTAACTAGAGATATATTTGTTGACATTACTTGATCTTAAGCTGATGGTATCATTTCAAAATTGTTTCTGGGAATGTAGTGCTGTAGAAAGGTGCTGGCTTGCCACCCCAGGACACTGATGGCCTCTTTATCTACAGAGCTGGTTCAACCCAGGCACTGGCAGTGAAAGCTTCTGCCACGCTGCTGCCTGATGAAGTGCTTCCATCCTGGTCAGGACAGACCATCTCAAGGGCTGAAGGGAAGAGCATTTCCTTGGTCCATTCAGTCTTTGGCTTCTCTCCTGAGGCAGATCAGCCATAACAGTTACATGTGGATGGATGCCTTTCTATTGAGAATGAGTCTGTGCTCTCAGGGTGGATTTTTTTTTTCTCTTTTAAAACTAAAAATGTGGAAAATCCATGAAGCTACTGAATGTCTTTTCCTGCTCACTCAACAAGTTCAGGCTCCAAAGAATGGTGCACCCTTTCCTATTGCTTGATGTTGGTTTTTTTTTTTCCCCTGTGATGAATTAATAGGAATCTTTAAGGAATGGATAGGGAACACTAACTCTCACCCAGGCATTACCTGCTGTCTGCCTCACTGACTGTTAAGGAGAACCTACAGCATTGCTCCCTGTCTCTGCAGCGAGCCTCATTGGTGTGGAAGGAGGTAATGCCACCCGAATTGGCAGGTTTGCCAACTACCTGAGGAACCTGTTGCCATCCAACGACCCCGTGGTGATGGAAATGGCCTCCAAGGCCATCGGGCGGCTGGCGATGGCTGGAGACACCTTCACAGCTGAGTACGTGGAGTTTGAGGTGAAACGGGCTCTGGAATGGCTGGGAGCTGACAGGAATGAAGGGCGAAGGCATGCAGCTGTAAGTGACCTTTTTATTCTCCTCACCTGTTCTGGAACAGGATGGTTGGGATCAGAGAACAGTGGTGGGAGCTGTGGAAAAGCTCTGGGAGTGGCTGCCAGTCCGTGTGTGAGGAGCTGTGATGCTCTCATGCCCCTCAGTGCTGCCTCATTGCTTTTACCTCAGCCCAGTGACTGAAGAAGGCTGAGACACCGTTGTGTAGGAACTGTAAAATGTGGAGCTGGAAGCAGACTCGCAGCTATCGACAGTCTAAATAAATGATACTACGCTCCACGAGTTACAGGGTTTGTCTCTGGGTGCTCATCCTCCAGATTGTTCCTGTTTCCCTCCCCACCTCCAGGTTCTTGTCCTGCGGGAGCTGGCAATCAGCGTGCCCACCTTCTTCTTCCAGCAAGTGCAGCCCTTCTTTGACAATATATTTGTGGCTGTGTGGGATCCCAAACAGGCCATCCGAGAGGGAGCCGTGTCTGCCTTAAGAGCCTGCCTTATCCTCACCACGCAGCGCGAGCCCAAGGAGATGCAGAAGCCCCAGTGGTACAGGGTAAGAGGATGACTTTGTTTTGAAGCAGCTCCTCACAATGCAATGCAGATGGTCAAGGGTCAGTTTTGAGAAGAACCTGTGTCGGCTGTGTCAGGAAAAAACTGCCTCTCCACGAAAGGGCTGAAAACATAATGGGTTCCAGAAGGAGCAGTTGCTTTAATGCACTCTAAAAGTAAGAAAGAGACTTAACTCCTTCAAGAATCCATTGCTCTATCTGTGGCTCATTTTCAGCTGTTAAACCTGACCTAGTTTTACAGCCATGCAGTCATCTATCTATTGTCATCTTTTACTAGCAGATGGTTTTATTAGTGCAAATAAAACCTAAATGAGAAAGTTGAGAATTCTTTAGTCTGAACCTTTGCCTTGCTGCCATTGTCACAGGAGTTCAAGCTTCATGATATCAAATAAGCTTTGGGTAGTGCAGTCAAATGTTGTGAACTTGGATTCCTTATCATCAAATAAGTGCTACAGATATTGATGGAGTTTATACCATACTGTTTGATTAGTGCTGTTGAAAATGCTTTACAGCAGAGTCCACAACCTCTGGGTGAATCTGAATTTTGTTGTCTTGTAGTTCTGTTATGACTCAGTTGAGGTTTGTGGCTACTCTTGGAAAATTCAGGGCATCAGTAACTCTTGACTGGCAGTGCTACTTCATTTCCACAGACTCTGTTTCTTCATTATCACTGAGATTTTTTT